CTATTAAATTTGCTATAACTTGTGTTTACAGAATATGGCTGTGAGCATTTATAGAAAATGTTTATTTTGTTTTATACTATGTCTACCACAAATTCTGTAGGAAAGCCAATATATGGTGAAGTGCAAAGCACCATTTTGGGCTTGTAATTGCATTATAGTTTTATTCCAGGTGGATTTAATTTGTCCTTGTAATGACTAAATAGTATTTTCTACTATTGTTTACTCAGATGAGCTACTAGTGGTTTGACAAAACCAAGGCTTGAGTTGTTCCTCCTTCATTTTACCGGCCAGTAGGGTAATATTGCTGGGAGCCTGCCTGCTTCCTGCTCAACAATTTTAATGACGAAGGGAGAATATGCTTCACATTTCTTAATGTTTATGTGAAGGTATGTAAACAAAAGATGATATCTTATCCATAGTAACTGAGTAAACAAATGAAGGTTGTTACTATCCACAGTAATTATTATGTTTAGAGGCTTTGTCCTCCAGATTCTTAATGAACCTGCAGGCTAGATCCAGTCTTCAGTGGGAGTGCCCTTACCATATGGCACCCTTTGCCTAAATACTGGAAGATTACAATTTATCTGTGTAAATCAGCTTCCCAAAGCACTGATGGAGAAAATGTCAGTGAGGCATTTAAATCTCTGAGGTTTTAGACTGTGTGCAAGCCAAGGGGTAGTTCTGTGAATATTTCCGTGAGGTAAACGTGAAGGTTGCCTTGCTACCAATGAAACACTTGCAAGCTTTTCATGGATGTGACAGGGGTGTCACCAGGATGTCACCAGTAATGGAATTTGACTTCTGTTTTATAAAGTTATAATTAAAATGATTTTAAAAAACTTCAGTAGCTAGATAAGTCTCTCTTGGTGTGCCTTGTGTGTAGGAAGATGCACACTAGTCTCGTAGCTGGTGATTTATGTACGGGAGCCCGCTGAAGTACCTGAGACAGTCAAGGCAGCATAGTGTGGGTGAATTAATGTACAGTTGGTGTGTGTGCTGTATTACACCGGATAATTTTGTGCTACTCAGTGAGCTTGACCTCCGACGTTAATTTGTCTAGGAATTTTGAAGAAAACTACTGTAGTAGTGAGGAGATGTGTTGTAAAGAAATGGTATTAGGAAAGGAGAAAAATGTGTTAAGCTTTTTGACTGGAAGGATCTAGTGGCTACCTCAGCTTGCCCTCCTAATGGAACCCCTGAATCCTGGATGTTGCCACCTCCTCCTTTGGCAGGAGTATCTCTCAAGTTTGTTGCTAAAACCCACTTGGTGTAACTTCACTGAGGATGACCAATTTTTGTTAAGAGTTATTTAGCATTAAGGTGAAAGTTCTGTAGAGTTAGAGGTTTTTCTATATATTGATGAATCACGAGAGTGACAGCTGTCATTGGAATTTTTTTTCCCTCCAGCTTGTTTTCCTATGAATTGGGTAACCTTAAACAATACTGTGATAAACAACATTGTAAAGCTAGAAAATATTAAAATAAGGTTGCTATATACGATCTTAATTCATTGCCATGTGTCACTTTATCCATGGACATCCATCTCATCCAGTCTGAGAATTGTTGCTACCTCTTGAGCAGTGATTTAGTATTTTGTTTCTCCACCCTTAATTCTGTCCATGTATAATTTAGTGATTATTGTTCAAGTATTGTTCAAGTATTGAATATCTAATTCTTTTTTTCTTACCATCTTTTCCATAATGCTTTGTTTGAGATCCTAAGAGTTTGGCACTTCTGCAGATCAGGTTTCAAAGAATCTGAAGTGAGACTTCAGTGAAGTTAAGGTCACAAGTAGTGATCGTCAGGAGGAAGTTTGGCTTAAGGAGTCTGACCAGCATCACAATGGATGCTGCAGTAGAAGGTGAAGGGACAATATTCAGTTCTTAAATGAAATATTCAATAGCTTTAACAATATGAGGCTGCCGCTTTACTGGCTGAATCCTCCAGTGTTTGCACATTTCTCAGCATCTGCAGTAAATGGGAAAGGTATCTTACAAATATGCTACAAACCATGGTCTTTCATTACACGGCAATGATTTATCTCTGAAGTAATGTACGAACAAAGTGAAATATTTAAATCTATATGGAGATTACTGGATGATATACTTAATGCTTGTATTGTAATGGATCTATCTGATGTGACAAATTAAGGTTGCATGGGGAACCAATTTGAAGAGTCTTGATTTTGAGTGCTTGACTTTGCAACAGTAGTGTTATAAGATCACATTCAGCATTGTGCTTACAGCAAGGTAAGAAAACTTCAACTTGGTTATAGTGTTTTGGGATATACAGAAATAAGTGCAAGTGCAGTGTCAGGAAGTGTTTGTACAATTTGTGTAAAGTGGCCTTAAAGAGGCCTAAACCCTAGGCCATTGTATATTCTTTGCAAGATGCGTGTTCATCAATAATCGTGGTTTCTCTTCCTTGATAGTTCCAGTGGTAATTCCAGTTGCACCAATTTACTCTTTTCTAATTTCTATCCATGGAAAGTGCAAAATTAGTATTCAGGATGGATTGTTCTGTGTTAAATATTGTGATGCTATTAATTCATCAGCAAATTCAGAAGCTAGGAAATGGTACCTTGCTGCAATCCTGTACCTGAAACTTGCTCAAACCTTTCTCTTCTCCAGCTAAAGTAGTGTTTCAAAATATGTCTGCACCACAGTGTGCTGAAGCTATAAAAGATCCTGCTTGGGTATGGAAAGTAGAGTAACTAGTCTGCTTCCTTTCTTTCTGTACAAAACTGTGAGTACAGTAAAATAGGAGATCACATACTGGTGGACGTGTGGTTCCCCCACCTCCCCAGAGCATTATATTGTGCCTTGGATGTTCTCATCCCAAGATGAATGGCTGATTCTGTGGATGGTTGTGTTGCCTGTCAAACCCCTGCCTCATTTTGTTGTCGAAACTGTAAGGTATACTTTTGTAATGATGTAGAAGGTTGCTGAAAAGAAAAGGGTTTCAGGATCAAACCAGTTGAATGTCTACAACGTATTTGTTGTTTGTAGATCAGCCACGAAGGTACATGTAGTGCTGAGCACTTAGGAGCTGAGGGGCAGGAGCAGCAATGCTTTGAGTATGGAAAGGGCTCAGTATTGCCAATTGGCTTAAAAGGTTGATACTTAGTTGGTACTAGGGAAGTCTCTAGGTAGGCTTGGGTTTCACTTTTTAATAGTTTCACTTTTTCATGCTTTTTTTTTTCCCCCTCCAATTCTAGAATGATGATGATACTGCACATTTAACTCAGAAGGCAATGTTTGAAGAACCTAGACACTTCTGTGAGGAGCAACATGTAAAGGTTAACAAGAAACAGTTTTGTTAAGAGCAAAGTTTAAATACTGTGCAGTACGAGAGAATAAGGCAAGGACTCTACACGAATGCAGAGCAAGCTAAATATTGAGTTTCTGATTTTTCACTGAGTATTTTCCATTGTGAGTATTGTTTGAAATAGTAACCTCCTAAAGTGATGTTTAACATAACTAAATAATATCAGAGTACACATATAGGAAGAAATCAGCCTTGTAGAAACGAACAACTTCTGTTAATTTTGAGGCCTTGAATTGGCAATCTTAACATCCTAAACATTACACGTTACATTAAACATTACTAAGCATAGTATAATACTAATTAATACCAACTGAAGAATATATTTATGCATTTATGCAGTACTGTGAACAATTTGTCATAGGCAGGCTTGGGTAAAGCCCATATATGTGGTTTCTTGCAAGTATCTCATTTGCTTCACATCTAGGGTAAGCAGTTGCCTGTGTTGCAGAGGGAAGAAACTGAGACATTGCAAGGTAGGCAGTTCTGTGCTGAACATCATTGTATCAGTAAGCAGTTCCTTCTAGAAGACAGGCACATTATTTGTAGAAGTAATAGATCAAACCCACAAAGAAGTAGTTGCAGAATACAGCTTGAGTGTTGGCTCAATCTTGCCTTAAATGCCTTGCAGATAATCCTAGAGAACACTGCCTAATCTAGGACAAAAAACCAAAGTAGGTGTATCTAGAGTGTCAGTTTTGGAAAATACCTTTTAAGATGGATGAGTTTTCAAGTCTGGTGAAATGAAACACCTCTAGGACTAATTAACAACTGTTTCTAGAAGCTTTTCATTGATGCAATTTATACATTCATCAGTTTTAACTATTGTGTGCAGTAATGTAAACATTACTGTATAGTTTACATTACTATAATATTAATATATATGTAATATTACTATTACATTACTGTATAGTGTAAACCCGTGTGATAGAACAGACATGAAAGTTTTTGTGTGTGTGTTTGTAAACAGTAATTCTGCAAGAATTGAATGGGTAGTTGGTTTAGCAATGAAGCAGTGTGTTTGGGTCACCAGCAGTAGGCAATTTGAAGACAAAAAAATATGAGAAATATACATCCTAAAGCCATAAAAAGTGACAGTTTTTGTAACAACGGAACTCGTGAACATACGTTAAAAGATCAGTGATAGTGGATTGATGCTTTCTTGCTGGCAGGATGCTAAGAAATGTGATCCAGCAATGCCTCCATAGACTACTGACTTTACAATATTTTATTTGCACATTTGAAAATACAAAAAAAATATTAACAAAACAGTAAAGCAGAGAAAAAGGACAACATGCCCATTAATCTAAAACATTCAGACAGCTTTATTGCCACTAATCACATGAAGTATAGTCCTATTTTCAGTGTGTACACAGCAGTACATTAGGTCTGGTTGATCTAACGTCTGGGGCTGTGCACTTTACAAAGAAATTGCTGAAAGCAGTGATCTGTGGTATATGTAACAAATCGAAGAGTAGATCACTGTGGGTATTCTAATTTTTAAAGTGAAAATGTCCTCCAGGAAATTTATCTTTAAATAGCAGTCCAAGGACCACGCTGTGGTATGCACCCGTTTAGCACGTGACTTTGAATACCTGTATTGTCACAGCTGGAAACCACAGAGCAGAGGATATCTACTTTGGCTTCTTGTGTTAAATACAAGTGCTTTTCTGATAAAAGTGACGTGGAGTTGAACTTCATGAACTGCATCTCTTTACTACTCGTATGTGCTCTTAAAAAGTGTTTTCCATAATTTTGGATTTTCTTCTTTTAACACGTGATCCACATGTGGTTTTGGATGTTGAAAAATTATTGAAAAAGTCTTTATTTTAGCAGTTCAGTTTGACTTAAGAAACTCTTACGATATGTTTTAGTTTCGTCGAATCTTTTGTGTTGTTTTGGCTGTCAATTAGAACCAGGGAGATGCGCTGATGATTCTCTACTATTTCAGCAACACTGTCAAAGCGCTGGATAGAGGAAAAAGAAATAAATTAGTTCTGGCTTCCTTTAATGCTCTAGTATGACAGTAATCACTGCATTATCTTTTTCCTTTTGCTTCTCCCACCATGGAAGAGAGTGGGGCTACGGCTGTTACCATGTGAGATGCTCTGCTTTTTGGGAAGAGTACTGAAGTACTGATCCTGCTCTTAGTCCTGATTCTAGTCATAAACAGATTAAATTGGACAATGGAAGATACTGACTGTCTCATCTCATCCTGCATTTGTGATTGCCACCTGCACAAACTGAACCACAGAGGTTGTTACGTGGCATATTAAACTGACGCTGCTTTCAGTTTACATTAATAGGTACCAGGCTGCAGCCTGTGGCAGTTTCTAACTGTAGGTGATCCTGCTCTGGCAGGGGGGCTGGACTAGATGATCTTTTGAGGTCCCTTCCAACCCCTGGCATTCTGTGAGTTTGGAATCTGCGTTATCTGCGGTTCCGCCACCTCTGTTAGAAGGAAGGCAATCTCCAGGAGTAGCACAGCACAGACAGCCATTACCGAGAACTGTTTTAGTTATGCAATTTTAATGTTTGTCACTGCAAATTAGTATGCAGAGTCTGCTAGGTCTGGTGTTTTTCCTTCCAGTCTTTTGTCAAATACAGATTTTGGACTATTTTTCTCCCGAGGTCTTTTTTGACCACTTTGTTGAAGGCCAGATGAGCTCCAAGCTATTACTTATTCTGTAAGCTCAAAACTGTTACTTGTGAGGCAGATAATTAGGCTAAGCCAAGCCCACTTTCACATCCCTGAAAAGCCTACTCTGTGCAGCAGTAACAAACAGTTTTTATTGGTATTTGGGTTTCAAGTTTCCTTTTAATTGTCAGTAACCGTGTGGTAGAAAGCCAACCAGTGACTTTTGCGCTCTAGAACTAGAGTTTAACATTTTCTTTATGTGAAAATAGAATTAAAATTACTATAATTCTCATTTTTGATATTTTTTTGTGAGTTTTTTTTTTCTTTTAAGCATGGCTGTTCTTTATGATTTTTCAAGAAACTTAACTTGTCTTAGGTAGAGGGTGAATAGATGACTAAACAGCTGGAGAATTAATCTAGTAGCTGCAGCTCTGATTCTAATAACTGCTCAAAGCAGTTCTAAGAGTACATTTTAAATTTGATATGTGGTTTTGGTTACAGTATGCAGGAACTGATGCTACAATGGTTTCTCTAGCTTTATAGATCAGTCATTACATAGGGTATACTTCTATCTTGATACATGAAGAATCCTTTTGGTCACAGTATAATATATCTTAATCCTTGCTTGTTAAAGGCATATAACTGAAAACTTAGGGAAAAAAAAATCCCACATAATCTCACCTCTTCACCATTTTTTTCTCTGCCCAGTGCATATTGTCTTGTTGATTCAATAAATCGTATAGGTATGTTGTATACTCTTCTGTTGTAAAACACAACCAGTGTGTATGGTTGCCGTGAATCCTGTCCAGAACTCTTTCTTATTAGAAAAGATCCATCCTAAATAGAGAAAAGTTGCAAGTATATTAATCTTATTTTTTTCCAACAACTTAGTTTGTCTATAGCTTAATATTCTCATCTCTCTTAGCATTAAATCCTTTTCTCCAATTAGAAAAACTGTACAGCAGGAGATGAGAAGTAGCCATGTATTGCTGCTGCCTAACAGTAGCTTACAAAGGTGTCATGAAGAGTCACCTTTACTGCTACCTGTTCTGTCGCAGCCAGAGAAGAAATAAACACACAGTGGCAGCAGTCTGTTGGCATCCACAGATTATTAGGAAAAGAAGCTACTGTCTGGCTGTAGGTAGGTAAGAAAGCTGTGAGAAGTGGAAATACATTTCTCCAGAGCTATAAGAAGCACTCTGGTAAAGATGAGCACCTACAGCTGCTGCCACTGTGGCCCAGGCTTACTAGCTAGTGGTAGCCTACACTGGCGATAGCTCCTAGTGCTCTGCCCCTTTATCTTGCTTTGTCGAGTTAGGCAACAGCAGAAACACACCTGATGCTGATGGTGCAACTCTGCATGTTACTGTTCCCTTCTGTGACACTAGCTTTTTTACTAAGAGTAGTTGAGAAAACAATTCTCCAAATGCTTAACTGCATGGTAGTGCTATTTCAAAATGCAAAGTAGCACCAGCCTTCCCAGACAGTAGCTGTTTTTATATAAGACACAGGACAGCAGTGTCATGGGCTTTGCCTTTCATTTTAATGGATGTACATGAGCTATCAGGTGTTCCTCAGCTTTCTAGTCTGTAATAGCTCTCTCTGCAGTGCACCAGTCTGATACACCAATGCAACTTTGACTTGGGATGCAAACCGTAGTTAAATAGTTTCACCACAATAATTTAGTATTTTACAGTATTTGCTTGACACAGTATTCTGACCTGTTCAGAATACAACTGATGATGTTAGAATATTTCTGGTTGTCTTTCAAATTTTTTTAAAGTTTTTTCACAAAATAGACATTCTTTAAAAGTGTCCTACCTTGTTTGATCGATACAATGCCTCTTCTGCTGTTTTTCTGTCACAGGTAGCAGCATACCATACTTTATTATGAACACCAGCTTCCTAGAAAGAAAGAAACAGTGTTTCACTTGTAAAATAATAATAAAGAATAGGGCTTGTAGGGGAGATACTACTAAATAATGACTGCCGTGAAGAACTCAAATGCAGAATACTTCAGAAAATACAGAATTTTGAAAATTCTTTGCCAGGAGCTCATTGTTTTTGTTGGATAGAGGTAGAACAAAGTAAAACTAGTGCGTCAGAAGAGAGGTTAACGTGTGATAGAAGGCTGATACATGACAGAAGAGAGAAATACACCCTGAAGAAAGAAGTCAAGTTTGACTGGAGTGTAGTTTGGTACTTATAAAGCAGGAGCTATTCCAGCAGAATTTAAAGAGGGTATCCAGGACATGTTGTGGAATAAATTGACCATTAACAATATAAATGCTGCTCAGATGTGGGCTAGCCAATGAAATGTCCAGATTTGGTAAGCATCTATGCTTTGGGAAATGAAGTTTCCCATATACGTAATGCTATTTGTGAACATGGTCACAATTGCCACCATTTGGATAGCATGGAGGTTGGATAAGTGTATCTTTTGCTCTTTTTCTTGTTATCAGATAAGGACAAATGGATTAAGTCCTGCAAAACAGAGGAATAATTAATGTATTTCTTCTATTAATATAGCAATTCAGCCCCCAGTGCTTTCACTGGAGACATAAGATTCATTTCTTGTTCCCTGCTGGATTGAGTCTGAATATATCCTTCCATTTGAAACAGTGCTCTTACCCAGAAGGCATAAAACCATGTTTGTTGTGGAGAAGGATGACATCTATGACAGAAGATAAGAGCGTCTTGTATTTTACATTGTATATCTTGGGTGCCTCATTTCTCTGTGTTACTCCCTGTAAACCTCACCAATAATCATCCTTCTGTTCATTCTGTTAAATGCTTGGCAGTGTTTTGTACAGTAAATGAACTTAACATGTTCTTCCAGTGGAAAAAATGGGGCAAAGACTTCACGAATGGGGCCACAGGTGCAGACCTGAATATACCAGGTATAAAGATTGGCACCTGGTAGATAGGTGGGTTCTGTTTTAGAAAATAAAAGCTCTCATAGCAAAGGACTTGCAAAGGTAAAAAGATGTGAGGAGGTGATGGCAGTTAGGAGTGGTACAAGATTATAATTTGAATAAGAGAAGTAGTAGAAAACTGAGTAGTAAGATGATGCAGGATTGAGTGTACCTTTCGCAACCCGAGTGGAGTTTAGGGGAAAGGTACAGGGGATTTTAGAGAAATATGAAAATAAGCATTACTCAAGGGGAGGACAGAATGAAGGATTAGAAGCAACATGAGACCTATGCAGTATCAGACTTAAATAGCTAGAAGGTTAACTAGGAGGGTTATAAAACCAGCAGTCAAAAATGAGCTCTTGCTGATAAGGTTGATGCAAAAGCTAACTCGAATGAGTGGTGGAGAGGCTAGGGAAATAGCATTGAGAGTATTTCCTAATGAAAACTTCAGAGTATTAATCTTCCTGATAATGTGAACAGTTTTGGTTCAACTTTACAGTAACAATCTTAATGATAAAATTCACTTTCACACGAGCTTTGTCACCTGTGTACAAAACAGATTAAAGATGAATTGACACATTATGGCTGAGCTGGTCTAGTTGGCTTATCAATGCCAAACAAGGAATGTCTTGGCTTCTCCCTTATACTCTCCTTTCGTTGCTCCTCTGATCCCATGATGAGAATTCATTTTAGTAATCTAGAAAAAATTTTTTTTCCTTTTTTGTTTTGTCTTGTTTTGTGTTTGACTGTCAGGTTGTTTTTCTGTCAGTTTAATGAGTTGGCTCAGCCCACAGCAGGATCCAAGGAACGCCAGAGGAGCCTATGGCAGTTAACAGAAAAGAGAAAGCAGGGCTTGCATTTTGGGGGCATTGCACCAAATTTGTAGATTGGATCAAGCCATAACATATAATTTTACCTCCAAAGTTCTTTCATGAATTTCTCCAGTCACACTATTCATTGGAAGAAGACAGGATGGGATAAATTGCAAGTATGGAAGATACTCACCCACTTAGAGAATAAGTCCATTAAACCAATCTCTGTTCAAAAGAATAAGGAATCAACTGCCCCAACACTGTTCTGGCACTATTTGTGGCCTATTGTGTGGAAGCACAGAGCTGCTGCCAAAATTTTCGATAGGGACCAAACAAATAATGAACCTTATGTGCATGAATCATGTCTGCAAGCATCTGTATTGTGCACAATGCTACAGCAAATGATACCACTGTACTTAATTGGTGGGAAAATAACATGAACAGTTAATATATTTTTTTAAAACAAAACGGATGTTTTATTAAGATCTGGTTTTGCCCATGGCTGTTACATAAAAGCTGCAAATGTAATTGCTACAAGCTGTTTATTTAATGTCTGCTGGATTGTTTATTTGAAAGCAATTCTTTTAACAAATATTCAGTATGACATACTGTTAAATTTTTTCCAGAACTTCAAGTCCTTTGTGTTCTTCACTGTTGCATTATCTTTGTCATGTCAGGCTTTAGAACATTTAAGTTATTGGCTAGGCATAATAGAGCATTTGTTTTGCACTCAGCAGAACTATTTTTACCTTGTTTGTGACTACTAGGCTAATAAGAATGGCTTCCTGCATTGTGTAGTCTCCCTTCGTCAAAAAAAGTAAGGGGAGTAGCACTGAAATGAAAATAACTTTGCATTTGCTTAGATTATGTAAAGTTTAATGTTGCAGTGAAACACAGAAAAAAGGACTGGTCATAAAACTGACAGCATTATCTGTAATGAGTAGAGGTCTCTTTAAGGGAACAGAAAGGAGTAGGACTTTAAGGGAACAGAAAGGAGTAGGACTTGGTAGAGACTAGAACATGTAGGGAGAGAGGCGTCACAGCATCCTCCAAGAGAGGCAGCAGTGACTTTCTTCTCAGTTCTTAAAACCTTTTCTGACACCTCAAAACCACAATAAGTAGGGCACTGTTCATAAAAGTGATTCTACCCTTCGTATCTTCCTGTGTTGGGCCAGTCAGTAGAACATCCCTGTTTCCTCCTACAAATTTATGGGATTTCTAGCACATTACATCAATGCAGGCTAATGTAATGGCTGCAGATGGCCTAGTCTTGGTATAATGCTATTTACATATTTTTCTACAGCTTGTTAAAGCTCTTCTGTGCTATATGTTCTAAGTGTTTTTCTATATGAAAGCTAACATTCAGATTATTTGTGCTACAGAAAATCTTCACTGCAGAAGTGGACATGGATGCCCTCCACAAAAGGGCTATAACTTTTATTTAGGAAGTGAGTAGAGTAGGAAAAATTAAAGTAAAGATCTGTAATGGGAATTTAGGTAATGTTATACCTGGTCTGCAGTACTTGAAATAGATGAAATGGCACTGTGAGAGGAAGTACCCGGAGAACGGTTTGCAGCTTCTGGCACTTCTAGAAACGAGAAAAGAAGAACAGGTATAAAGTTTTCAAAGTACGTTTGTTACGCTGTAAAAAGCATTTGTTATAAGGACTATGGAAGATCTGGAGATGCTTGACCTTTGGTATCACTCAGGAAAGCTACCTCCTATAAATGGATGGGGCCTGTGTAAGTGCCTGGGACACTTGCCTGCTCAAAAGGAGAGAAACAGTTTTGGTTAACAGCAGTTTTGGTAAAAACTTGTTTAACAGTCAGAGCTAGATTTAAAATGCTAGAAAAAACCTGCCACCACTTAAGCAAATCAACGTAGCAATTGATAAAGAAAACGCAGGAACACGGTGCAAAAAACCACTCAGTCCAGTGTGAGGAGAAGTGGTCATATAGGTGAGGGAGTCAGGAAAACAAATCTGGCTCAGAGAACATTTTTCACTAATTTAGTCCAACTGAAATGTCTGTATATGCGTGCAAGAAATCTAGGCAGCTAAATAGAGGAACAGAACTAGTAGGAAAGATCATGAAGCTTAATTTTAGTAACAAAGCATAGTAGAAAATAGCTATTAGGGCTGAAGTACTTAATCTGGACTTCAGCAGAGCATTTGATATGCTACCATATGAGAAGTGACTAGGAAGAGATGGCAGATTATGCTGAAGGGACGTTTAGTGATTGGGACCAATTGTATTTGTGATTAAATTGGCATTGGACCTGGCACAGAGTAAGAGTGTTGTAAAGTTTACTAATCGGCATCATTTAGCACCAGATAACCTTGAAGAACTTGCACTTTAGGGATTAATAACAATTTATACTACATATTGAAGCACATCAGTTGTGTGACAGGAGCAGACAAACTTCAGAGCATCAGTCTATTGCATGAATATAAACCATTATTATATTTCCACAGCTAAGAGATGTAATTGCAGCATACATCAAGCAAACATTTCCAGGAAATAGAGAAAAGTACTAATAACAGCATGAAAGTTTAAGCTACACCATATGCAGATTTTTGTGCAATTCTCATCATCCATTTACAGTATGAAAGATATGTTCAGAAAAGGGCTTGTACGAAGGTGAGACAAGCATTTGCTAACAAGAGACTAGAAAAATTAACAGTTAGAGGTAATTTCCAATTCTGTGCAAAGAGAATTCATATACATACTACCTAATTTGTTTTTAACTGTGAACTGAACTGAAATTCCTCTTCAAAAGTATTAGTTAAAGAAGAGCTTTAGCATTTGTTGTAAGGAAAATACCTTATTTTTTTTTCCCCTGCAGAGAAAGGATAATTTGATGGATACAATATTATTCTGTCTGGCTCCTAGGCGACATAAGCCTGGAACAGTCCGGAAACATTTTGGGTTCTTCTGTGGCAAGGAATATGGATGGAATTTTATTATGATGGGAACTGACCAAGACTGCCTTTAGTAGAAGTTTCCAGTAGTCACAAATGGGAATGAAGCACCCATTTCCACTAATTGATACAATAATCCTGACATACTCCCTTAATTTTACTAGCTGAGCTAAGGCCCTAGATACTTGATCTCCTATTTGTGTGCAACGAGACAATTGTTAATTTCAAACTAATGAATACGTGTGGCATCTTGACATCATCTTAATTCAAAGAATAATTTGAAATTTTTAATTATACTTACTTGGTAGAACTGAGGGCTTTTGGAGCAAAGGCCTGAAAAAAAATAACAAGAGATTACAGAAAGATCTAAGGGGACCTACCCAGTTCTTAAAATACTCAAGCTGTGTATCTGAAGCATGCAGCGGTAGGATGTGTGCCATCTCATCCATTTGTCTACTGAGAAACAAAAGCCAGATACAAGTATTTAAAAAAAAATAAAAATCATATCCCTCTAGTACTGACAGTTAGGAATTTAAACATCTGGTTTCAATCTCCATCACCTGATTAGAGATTATATCCTCCCATGCTTGGTGGTGGTGGTTACGGTATTTGGATGCATTTGCCATGTTTTGGTCTTTGGTACTGAGGCTTCAAGACTTTCAAAAAGCAACAGAAGGCTACAGAGAAAACAGTGCTCCCCTTTGAACTTCTCAGAGCTGTATTCAGCCCAAGCAGTAAGAGCTGGTGCAATGAAATATTCAAAAGGTGACGAAAAGGGATTTTACTTTTGGGCACCGCTTGGAAGGGGTGGAAGTGGAAGCTCTTGGCTGGAACCTCGTCGTCGTTCTGGTGCTGTAGGTTTTTCTGTAGTTTGGGAAAACAAATTTTAGAGTCAAAATTTCTTCAGAAACATACAGTCCCAGCTAAGAGTCCCAGGAGCAGAAGCAGAGTTTCTTTTATTACAGTAATTTTGGGGTTTTTTCCTGACGTGGCAGCATGCCATCCTGCTGCTTTCTTTAGCAAGTAGTGGCATTCCAGCAAATTTCTAGGCAAAGAGCTGCGCTGTGAATGCCTGCAGGAGCTCAGTGGGAGCCTTGCCTTCTGCGAGGGGAGCTGTGGGACACCGGGGGGCACACCGGGCAGGCTGCCTACCAGACCTCAGCCGGAGGAGGTGCGGCTGCCTGGCTGCATCTTACCCTGATGCCAGGCAGCAGCTCCTGTGGGGTTTTTGCTTGGAGGAGCTGCCGCCTTGCACAGAGGTCAGAAGCATTTTCTGCCTGTGCGAGGGACCAGCTGTTGCCAGGAGTCAGCTCCGTGAGAGGTGGTTCTTGTCGAGTTCAGAACGACATACACACGAAACGCCTTGCTTCCCCCTTCTCCACTTTTGAGGACTGTATGGCACATTGCTTGTCTGTGTTACCCTGCCAGTAACCTCAACAGTTTTCCTGTGACTGCTTTTAGAGAACAATGATAGTCAGTGTAACTAAGGCTGGCCAGATCTAGTTTGAAACTGCTAAAACCAAACATCCCACAAAACCCTAGAATAAATTGAATGTGGTGGTGTTTGCTTCATGTTTTTAATAAAAAGAAGATTAAATTGTGATAATACTAATTTTTTTTTCACAGTAGTGGAGATGATTTACCTTCATTTGTAGTTAAGGTCTCTCTGGAAGGTAAACATGGTTTCTGCAGTAAAACAGAAGGAAATATTGAATGGCATGTCAATTGTACAGCAAATATTTATCATTTTATATTTTTTTCTGAACTTGTTGACATTTAGAATTGACAGAATTCTTGAGGAATTAGGAGGTAACACCATGGCCATTCTGTGAAGAGCCTCTAGTTCTATGTCCTTGAAGCTTGTGATTGTTATACTAGAGGGAAAGTCCTGTGAGGAGAGGCTGACGGAGCTGGGGCTGTTTAGCCTGGAGAAGAGGAGACTCAGGGGGGGCCCTTATCGCTCTCTACAACTGCCTGAAGGGAGGGTGTAGCCAGGTGGAGTCATTCTCTTCTCCCGGGCAACCAGTGACAAGACGAGAGGGCACGAGGGAAGGTTTAGGTTGGATCTCAGGAAGCATTTCCTCATGGAGAGGGTGATCAGGCACTGGGAGGCACTGCCCAGGGAAGTGGTGGAGTCACGGTCCCTGGAGGTGTTTAAGGAGAGGCTGAATGTGGCACTTAGTGCCGTGGTCTAGCCATTGCGATGCTGTTGAGTCATAGGCTGGACTTGATGATCTCAGAGGTCTTTTCCAGTCTGTGGAATCACAATTCTGTGATTCTGTAATTGTTTGCAAAGTCGATTTGGAAAGAAATCCAGTTCATTTGTATAAATAGATGGTCAAAAGTAAAATCCACAAATGCATGGAGGTTTTTTTTGGTTTTTTTTTTTTTTTTACCAAAAAATATCTCCCGTAAGTAAGTTTATGGTGTAACAAATGTTTCATTCTTGCCTCACATCCAAAAATAGAGTCCATCCCAAATATTTATGAATCACAACTTGAATATTTTCATCCATGTCAAGCTATGCTCACAACTGTCTGAACACATTCTTTTTACTGAAAGTTAAAATATCAGTTTAGGTCACAGCAGAAACTCACCCAACCTTCTAGTTTCAGTTTTGTTAATGATAATTAACTGTCAGTTTTGGAACATTTTTCAAATTAATTTCTTCAAAAATTTCAACCAGCTCTCACTTTCTGCCACAAGAGGTTTTGGGATATTTTTCTAATGATGAAATAATTACTGAAAAAAATTGACATATAAGGGATTTTACTAGAATTTTTCATAAGCTATCACTCTTAAAATAGATTCATGTTCCCCATATACAGCCCTGTATATTTCAGGGAATACTTCTGAATGGCCTTTGTTCCCATTTATTTCTCATTTTATTCAATTCTTGCACTTTGTTCATTGTTGCATCCTACAATACTGAATCCAAATTTCCCTTTAATCAAAATAGTCTTCTATTTGTACTTTCTCACTGCTACTCAGTTCACATAACACCCAAATACTTCCTTTCTTTACAACTCTCTTTCCTCTATTCTTAGTATGCATTTATGTTGTACCTGAAATCATAAAATTAAGTTTTACAATAAATTAAAAATCACCTGTAAAATTATCATTTGATTATGCAATTGCAAGTCAACTTACCGGTGAATTTACTGCATTAGGACTTTTCTTTCTGCAGATTGGAGGAAAAAAGAAACAAAGAGTACGGTTACTTAGCAGATACATGAATTCTTTTAGCAACTAAGCATCAGGTTCGTTGATTCTTGGATATTTCTAGCCAAGATGGAATGGATCTCCTTATTGAGTAGCATGGAAAGAATAAAAAAAGAATACGGATATCAGATGTAATGTGAGTACTTAGGAAAGGTACTTAGGATATACAAGGAAGCTGCACTCTGTCCAATACTTAAGATGACAGCTTGGGTGAGTTGGAAGAGCATTAATGAAAATCATAGCTTTCTGCATTTATAGACGTGCACATGCTGTTGCTGCAGTGTGTGCCTAAATTAAGCAAGCCAGCCAGCATCTGCCAGCAGTGGTAGGCAGTGGAGGACAATGCCACTGGCACAGGAACAGTATTCCTCCAGAAATAATGAAATAATAGCTTACCTTTACCTAGTCAGCATATCTTTCATGAATAACAATAAAAGTTACTCCTGAATTCTGATTGCCATAGGCAGAGATAGGAAAATTAGCTCCTAATACAATGATTAATTCTACCCTGTCTAAGAAGCAGTTATGTTGTTTTTTACTCACAGGCCCCTTGGTAATGGAGATGGAGCTGCTCCAGTGGGAAATCTGGATTCTTGTGTGTTATTGAAGCTATGATCTAGAGATGCAAAGGACATAAGTAGTATGCAATATTAGCTGTACCTAACAGTGGATTCTCCTCACTGCCATTTCAGTGTTAGTGTAATAAAAAAATCAAAAAATAAACATAGGTTTAGTTTTTGTCTTAACATGTTTTCACTCCAATTATACTAGAAAACAGTGCAGTAGCATTTCTTGCTTATTGCTGACTGTTACAGATAAAATTTACACTGACACACTTCACTACATGCTATATTAAGGTCTTCAGTGACATACTGACAGGAAATCACTCTCATATCACCCTTTATTCACTACAGAATACTTACTTTCATCATTATTATTTGCTTCACAGTCCTGTAATGGAAAAAATGTTAGATTTTATAAGAAGCAATTAAAAAATGAATCATTATTAAATAATAAAGAGCACAAATATGTTTTGTTAATCTGTAGTAATGTTTAAAGAAATGTTTGTACAGAACGCATATAATAACTTGGTATATCTAGAAATTTAAGTACTGAAAGTAAGACAATAAGATGTTCTTACACCACCCGCATTATGTTACCATAACATCTAATACTATGGTATGACCCCAAATTCCTAATTTTAAACATCTCTTTTCTCTGTGTCATTATTGGTAGACTGGTTCTTTCATAAGGACAATTCAGAGCATTGGGCTGGGACACCTTTTGGCACTGATGCAATCCATGTTATGCTGTTTCTTGGTAGTTTGCTACACATATGTACCTTCTCTTGTGCTGGCACAACTGTTACTGAAGCTGCATAACAATTTATGCATTTATTTTTGTTATTTGCTGCAGTTCAACAAGTTTCTAAGTAAATTGCGTCAGAAGACCTTTGTTCCAACACAATGGAAGGGACAGACTGGGGACAAAATAGAGGAAGAAGAGGAATGACTTAAACAGAGCCTTAGAAACACAAAGCTTGTAATTACTCCTTCATGGACTGCATTTTCTAGTGATACTGGTTACTCAGACTACACAGTCTCTGACAGTTTAGAAGTATTCCATTTTCAGAAAGTATTATTCATCATCTGAAAGGAATGAGGCTCAAGGAAGGTGCTTGAGATTGGGTAAAATTGCCCGTTGCTACTGAAAGTAAGGTTCCTGGGGTTCAACTGGTATTTTTTAATACCAGAAATTATTTTTGTGGACTGAGATCCCTTAAAACACTTAGTTTTTCTTGGATCTGTACAGATGTCCAGTCTCATGCTTTTGTCCCCAAGATTAATAGCCACAATTACAATATTAGATCAATCTGACATTCAGAGTCATCTGCTGCTGTTATTTACTCCAGATTAAGTAGATAGATGCATTTTATTATTATCTATATAAAACACAGAACAGCCTAAGCTTAACGCATTCTTATACAGTGGCACAGTAATTACTCACTGCTTTTGGATGAAGACGATTTCTGGGAAGAGGCAAAATAATTCTGAAAAATACATACAATAAGTCAAGATGAATGCAGTTTACTTATTTAATTGCTTGGCTCAGATATGCATTTCAAATCTAGAGAGGAAGAGGTCTGCAGTAAATGGATTTAATTGCAGCTACGCACTGCTGCAGTTGTTGTGGTGATGCTCTGCCCTTAGTGTGGAACTACTCTAGCAAAGCTGCTGTCCTTCTGTCCTGGTCCTTGGGTCCCCTGCAACTGTACACAGGACCTCACCAAACACCATAACACATACACCGTTGTTCATGCCAGCTGCTCTTTCTGGGGCATACGGCCTGTTTTGTAGAGACGAGACAGTGATTCCAAAGCAGCTTCCTGCACTTCTGGGGACACAGGAGCAAAATAGGCTGTATGGTCAAGCTTCCTTTGCCTCTTTTCCTCCAGAGACTTGAAATACAAATGATACATAGACTGTGTCCTCTGCCTCATCCCCTGCAAAAACATCTCATCCTCAAGGGTGCAGGGATAGGTAATAGGACTTTAAACTGGCTTGCAGAGAGGTTTTCCCCTTGCACTGGTTAGTCTGTAGTACCTGTTTGGCAAACTGGTTTGAATATAGGAGTTTACAAAACGAATATTTTCAATTCTTACCTTGTCTCAGCATCCCTCACAATTTGTGTATCCTGACAATTGCTTATTGTCTGAAGGCTACACAACAGAGAGGAGAAAATTTTGTCTCTGCTAATATTTCCTATTGATATAAGCTGCTGTTCACTTACCTGGAATTATCCAGCTTATGTGACTCTCTGGTCATGCTGTGCACATGGGAGTGCTCTGTATTCTGAGCAGGCGTAGATGGAAGTGGCTTAGTGAACCTAGTAATAAAATATGAATTAAGAAAATAAAATTATGCTTAACGACAGTGAATACAAAGGCAATCTCTCTTTCTCCTCCTCTACCCCCTCGAAATTCTAAAAGTACCTTTAGAAGGTATTTCTTTTAAATATGTGATATGTTTGAGTTATTGAAACTAACAGAAATGGATGACAATCTCTGTGCAGAAAATCTAGAGAAAGAGATTTACTATATGCATATCTTCTAGAGAGAGAATTATCAAACATGTAGTATCTAGATTAGAAAATATATTTTCTGACAAGTTTTAAATAATTCACAGACATTCATAGCAATGGGTTACCTTGTTACCGGTGGTGGTGATGGTTTTTCCTGTAAGAGAAAACGCACTGAATTATTTGGTCACTTTTTGATTTCATAATATACATTTGTATGATCCTATTTATGTTAACACAGCAATATCTTATTTTTGCATTGTGGTACATTTTTCTAGCAGAACTCTGCCTGGTATTCTGCACTAGGATGAGAGAAGCAAGAAGTCACCAATAGTTAATCTGTGAAATCTTGAGCAAACTGCTTTGGCTGTGTGCCCTGGAAGTACCAGCAAGTGGGAAGAAGACTACTGTGTCAGAACTATCATTGCACGTTCACTGCAGTTTTGCTTCTGGAAAGCATTCTCTTAGACTGTTCCTTCCCAGACTGGATCCCTGACACTCGAGTCTGGGAAACTTCAGCCCTGTCCTGTACTTCCCCTCCATTTACTTGGTTCTGCAGACCTTCTGAATTGGTTTGCTAGCTTTTCTGTGAAAGAAGTGTCAGAAACTTTTAAATGCAAACTGAGATTTGTTCCCATTTTTCCCCTTTGAGGAATCATCTCTTTTTACAGTCACATTTGTGCCCTACCTGAGGGCAATGTGAGTCAAACTCTGGAAAGGCCTTACCTCTTCTTCAGGAACTTCATAGACTTCTGTAAGACACAGAGAAAAAAAAAAGTGTTCTTTGGTTAGCAAAAACGTACTGCATTTTACCAGAAAAAAAATTATCAGAATTTGTATAAATAGTAGTTCTGCCTCTGAAAAAATGACTTGGAGAATCTGCTCAGAATTTGATTCTGCTTCCAAAACCCCTGGTCTTCTAGTGGGAACTTCAGGAAAAGTGTGATAAATAGTCACTGTATTAATGAACCTTCCTCCTCCCAACTCACAACTGTTGTTTTGTTGTTTTTCTTCCTTTCTCCCCAAAAGAAAGTGTTATCACACCTGTGATAGCATTTAGCTTTTCCTTGACTCTCAGGGCAGAAGAGATCAGGTGAATCAAATACAAGCTGACTCACTTGTGTGGTCAGCCTCTGTCCCTGAGCTCTGTCCCACAGGTGTATTTGAATTCACTGATACTAAAAGCCAAAACCACCAGCAGCTTTATCTATGCCCAGTTTCTTCAATGCAGATTGAATCATATTTCAACAAATTTCATGTCAGACTTGCTTTTATTGTGCTGAAAAGTGTCCGAGTTTCCACCAGAGGGAGATGTTTTATTTTTTTGGTAACATCTGTCAGGATCTGGTTGTTGCTGACACTGATTTATAGAAAGGCTAAGACTGGAAAAGGCATTTTAAGATGTCTGAAAAGTAACTCACAAAAAGCTTAAGTAATTCAGGATAAAATCTTTTGTAGTTTGCAACTTGAAAGCTAAACACACTCCTAATGAATATGCAAAAGAACTGCGTGATCAGTCTGTAAAGGTTACATTCTGAGCAATTAATGAGATGATGAGGATGCAAAACAACTCAGCACAGCTAAGGAAGATTAAGCAAGTATATCTGTACTTACAAAAGCAAATATAATTCCTCTTAATTGCTTATACTTCCCCCCTAGCCCCCCCAAATAAATTGCTCTGCATAGAACTTAAATGGGAACGCTATTATCACAGGACATGCAAAACATCAGCCTATGTGGAATTTCTTTAAAGCTCTTTTAAAATTCAAGCTTGAAGTATTGAGTCTTGATTCCTATAGTGAAATGGGATTACTGACATACCAAGTCCTATAATTGTTTTTGCTATATTGATCCACTTGCATTCTTCCACTACAGCAAAAGACTAAAAATAAATTTGTTTGGGGCTTGTTCTAGTTTTATTCACGCTTAAAACAGATTTACTATGCAAGCTAGGCATAACAACTGCCACAACACAGAAAAACCTAAAGGGGAATATATTTCTGCTTTACTGAAGTATGTCATATGATTTACGCTGTGAATACATCAAGTACAGTTTAATATTCCTCAGTCTTAGATTGTTTTATTTCAACAGTGATGTAAACTCCACATACCTTGCAAATCAGAAGTAGGAGAAGTAGGGAAAGCTGACTTTGGTGTCTTCATAAATCTGTTCACAGGACCTGAAAATATATTTGTAAACATACATATCCACAGAGATACTTGTGCATGTGTGTATATGCGCACATATATTTATATACACATGTATTAAAAAAAGTAACATTTATACAATAAGAATAAATATTAAGTACGTCCATGCAATAGCGTTTTTGTGTGACCTTGAACAAATCAACTGAGGCAGAAAGCAGTTCTCATCTTGAAAGGGAAACGTTATTCAGTGTTCATGCCTTGCTGAATAGGTTTCATACTGCCAGTAATGTCAGAGAGCAGAACTACATACTCTTCTCTGTTTACTTTTCTTCTTTGGACTAGAGCAGTTTCACTCTCCAGCTAAATACACTTCAAATAGTAGGGTAAAAAAAAATAAATGAATCAAAGCCTGTCTGTATCTACTGAAAATCTAAAAAGGCTTGTTCTCCTGTGGAAATTAGCAAACCGAGAATTTTAATGCTGTGGCTCCCTTGGATGAGGAGGGAGATCATAGTCCATGAAAAGCTTCATGGCTGTACACGGGCTGGCCTTTGAAACAGCTGATTGAGAGAGGCAGCAATTAAACATGACTTCCAATAAATTTAAAAATAATTTTCCTTGGCCTTGTCATGGGCCAGAAATAGCCAACTGCCTTTTTGCAGGCTGCGTTCTCTTTAATAGTTGCACCTCCACTCTCTGGAATAGATATTAATTTGATCCATTTTTTCCACTGTTGTTCCTAAGGTGGCAATAATTATTAGCTTAAATGACTAAAACTTACATCTTGTAGGTAACGACGTGCTGCTTTCCGTTGGTTCTATATAGTTATCGTCGTCATTATCCACTGGCACAATGTAATTATCCTATGAGGAATGCAGGACAAAAATCCACCAATTAAACCTCCATGATGTCAACAAACTGTTGGGATTGAAGCCCAGGCAGCAGTTTACAGTAGTTGCCATTTCACAGTGACTGCAGTTTCAGACATTTATCATCCTATGCGGATGGGATTCACCAAGACTGAAAACCCTTTCCCAAATTAGTCCAGTTCTAGATTTGTGGATAAAAGCCCTCCCTTCCCCCTGTGGTCCTGGGGTGGCCTTTGAGGTTGCTCTCTCTCCATTGCCTGCAGCTTGTTACAAATGAACAGAAACTATTCTGTGGTTTAAAGAGCCTCCTTGACACTTGAAGTAGGCCAATATTCCCTAGGAATCAGCGTGGTACTCACAGGTCACTGCCTGTGATGTACAAAATGATTTGTACCACAACCACTAAGAAAGTCCAGACTATGGCATTGCTGTGTAGTCTGTTGTATGACTGGTGTGGGCTCATCAGTCAGTTAAACTGTCAAAACAATTGTGTCTAAATATTACCTCATCATCACTACACTCCTTAGGCTTCGGCGGTACTTTTGGTTTTGCAGCAGGAGATGGCAGTGGCAGGGATGGCACAGATGGTTTCTTTGGTCTGGACATGGCTGTACTGGGTGTACTTGGGAGAGGTTTGTTGATGGGAGGAAGTTGCTGGTGACTGGTGCGATTGTCTTTTAATATTGAAAAAAACAAGAATTTTAGTAAAAAATACACATTGGCCTCTGTACCATCTTCTACTACTTGTGCAAACAAGTCTTTGCTGTGGCTGCAGCTCAGGTCAGAAGGCAGACCTGAATGTGTGCTGGTGCTGATTCTGAGATTTTTGTGCAAACTCATCCTATTTATGCTTCTATGGCTGAAGGTAGCAAGCTAGTACTCTGTATCAGGCTTCAGAGGGTGCTTAGACACTGACTGTTTCATGAACTATTTAACTCCTTGGGGAAAAGGTGATGGCTGGGTGATGTAGTCTCTTAATTATTATGTCCTGTGCCAGTATGAATTTTGGTGATAGGAAATGAGAAAATATAGCTGACATACAAAAAAACCCACTGTTACACAGTACAAAGGATGGGACTGAAACACAAATTCTGCCAGGTCCTCTATCAGTACCAGCAATATTAAGCTGTTTCATGCTGTAATAACAAGTAATACCCCTGCAAGCCAACAGTCTGATTGTCACAATCGAAAGCAAACTCCCAAGGAAAGGACAAGTTAGCCCATTTGAGGCTACTTCTCTTCTGGTACTGATAACTAAGCAATTATCAAACTGACATGTTCAACTATTCCATAACTACCTGCATATTCACCCCTAGAAATAGGGAATGCAGAGGGAATCTTCTTTTTCTCTTGCTCACTTGGAGGTGGCTCATAGCTGTCATCAGGATTGTCTTCACTGGGGACCACATACATCTCAGAGTCAGAGTGGTCGTCTGGGTTTTCATAATCACTGTCCTAGAAAAACAGAACTTCCAGTTTCTCATCTCATAACATACTTACAGCTTCATGGTATTGTATGACAAATATCCATGCAGTACAACTAATCCCTGAAGGGACACATGACACTGCCTCTAAGTGCTCCCTCTCTAAACAAATAGGCACTCCTGCCTGCCTCCCCTTCTGCACCTCCCACAAGTTTCCTACTCCCTGTCTCCTTGCTCCAAGGAGTCCTTTCACACCAAGAATTCAGTCTTCAAATTATGGACCAACAGCTTATACCCCTTCACAGGACAGTTCCTTCCTAGTTCTAGCTGGGACTCTTGGTGTGTCCTGTCACTTCCTCTCCCTTTCTTACTAAAAGGGTAACTCAGGATCTAACTCCAGAAATTAACTAGTCACTTCAGGCTGACTTGCTTCATTCTAATGTTCTCTAAAATCTTATCAGAAATTTTTTATTTTTTAGGAAGAAGTGGTTTTCCCCTCCTCATCTGTCCCACCCTCTCTACCCTAAATAGAAAATCTTATGGTTTCTGAATTGTTGTTCACTTTGAGAAGTGCCTCCAGTTGATGCCTTGTGCTTACTTACCCAAAAAGCTTAGTATCCATGGCTACCACTGTACTTCTGAGTGTACTTCTAAGTTGAATGTAAAAAACTTAGGTAGCTAAATATCAGTGCCTACTTGTAAATAATGCTGATGTAATAAATGCTGGTGTAATAAATAACATTTCAGTAGTATTCCACCACAAGCAGATGATTCAAAAATAAACTTATTGTTTGTGCTAATTGTTGCTACAGTAACCTCCTACTACCCCAAAGTATGTACTTACAAAGTCATCTGACCATTGCTCCTCTTCATTGTCTGCATGCTCTAAACCAAACATTAGAGTTATTTAAGGCAATGGAATAGTGAACATAAATGTTTACTGCAGATTGTTTTTTCTATCTATACTTACCACATTCAATTCTTTTTTAAAGAGCAGCCAAAATTTCCTAAACAGGTCAGAGCAATACAGCTGGTTTGGACTGAATAGTAAATTAAATATCTGCTTGCTGGGTTTTGATAAATTGTTTCAGAGCTGTTGGAAAAGCACTAAAAACTGGCAAACTGCACATGGTCTGAACTGCAGAGCATGCACTTTAACCAGAGAGTCCTGCTAATGCATCTCTTTAGCAGGAGTAACAATTTCTATATAAAACAGAATTATCAGTGATGTCTGGGCCTTGCACTTTGTTGTTTCTCAGTCAATGCTCCAAGACAGCACACTAATTACAAGTGTTTACATAAAAAATGGATCAATTATCTGATAACTTTCTCACTCTGTCCTCTTTGCTTCTTTCATATCATTTGCTTAACAAGATAGCTGTCAACTTGTGAAAAATGGGCACAAACTAGTTTATGGGCAGCTCTGTCTGATAAGCAAACACAGTTCTACCTCTAAGATAACTCATGACATCATCGTCATGTTAATAGCATTAAGATTCCAAATCTGTGATTATCTATTTGTTAATTTTTTTCCTTATTTACTTTCACATCACAGTTTCTGGCAGACAGGATCTTAGATGCGAATTCTACTTCATTTTTAGAGCAGCCTACATGCAGAAACCTGGTAAATACTGATTTTAAAAGAGTAGCTGTTTGCTACTTTTTTTTTTTTTTTCATACTGGGACAACTTGCCACATTTTGCTTGCTTCTTATTTCAGAGTTGTGAACTGCCATCAGAGTTGTGGATAACGGCACACTGTTCTCTCATTAAAAACAAATTATGAGGAAATGTATAGCTGAAATACTGTTAAGTGTATAGGTATCAAATATACACAGACATGCAGTTTAAATTCACATTAATGCAGCCTTACCTGAAGCATAATCCCTTTGTGGCAGACTTGGAGGAGGTTTTTTTTTAAGCCTGTGGACAATATTATTATGTTTACAAACTAATAAGTAACATTCACTAGAAGAAAACATCAGCCAGACACATAAAAAAGCTGATAACAAAGGATACCTGCAGCTTAAGAAATAAAGATTACCATCACAGATGCTTAGGAAATAGCTGCAGGAGAATGCTTTGAAAAGCTAGAAACAGATAAGAAATCAGATTCTAATATTGATAATTTTTTCTTTTTTGCTAAGGACATATTTTGAAAGAACAGCTTCCTTGCCCGCCCACCCACCCGCTTCTTAATTTCCAGGGCAGAAACAGGTAACATAGGGGCCAAAGACAAATGCATATCTATCTGAATATGAAAATCCCTTCAGGCTCACAGAGGCTTTGCTAAGACAGTGGTACATCACTCTCCAGGCTTATTGTTATAACTATCATTTTGCATGCACTTTATTTTCTGAGTAATGTTTAAATGTAAACCAGGTCTCTTCGGGCTGGACTGTTTCCACTTACTATTTTTTTATGGGGTTATGCACTTTTTTTGCTTAATACTGTCATAATGACGTTTGTAATACCAAGTGAATCAAAATATAATTTGTAGAAATACTGCAAAGTTCTTTTTGGCTATGCATCTACACACCTATATGTATGTGCATGCACATATATATGTATTTAGGTAACAGTAGTATATGTATACATGACAGGGAGGTTGGATTAAATGATCTCTAAGGTCCCTTCCAACCTAGGCTGTTCTATGAATATATGTGCATACATGTGTGTGTACTCCTATTCATGCATATGCGTATGTATATGTATACTTCTGCTTGCTAAACTGTAACTGTCCAGAGAAGACACTGAATTAGTCAGTTGATATATCAATTATTTCATTATCTTTTTAAAAAAGAGAGAATTTGAGTTTAAAGTAAAGCAAATGTTGCATGTGTGACATCAGAAGCCAGACTGATGCATCTGAAAAGCCACCTTTGCTTTTTGTAGCCATATAAAAACAATAACATAATTTACATTAAAATGGCTCTTCAGAGTGACTTTTGTACATTGTCTGACAGCACTGATGGGACCTCACCACAGACCCAAACCTTTGTCCACTGAATTGATGTCTTCACTCATTCTTCAATCAGATTCTAATAAATTCATTTGCAAAAATAAACAAATTATTTAAAAAAAAAAATAATTGTACACAAAGAATTGAAAATGTTCTTTTGTGATCTCCGAGCAATAGTGATGTCTACAAATTTTGCTTTAGCACAAGAATTTGACACTCGGGTGTCAGGTCCTGACCATGCTGCATAGGTGTCATTGTTCAGGTATCCATGTAACTCAGCGTAGTGGCATACTGGCACTAACACATCAGTTTAAAGGCTTCTCCCATCTGTTTTGAGAAATGCTTTGGCTGCTTTGAAGTTGGATTAATGCAATTAATGCAATTGTCCAGGTAGTTAAAAAAAAAAGAAAAAAAAGAAAAAGAAACCCAACCCCTAAACCACAAACAATCTAGGCACATGATTTTTGAAGTGTTTACCTGCTTTGTTCATTACTAACAACACTAATGACATATAGGTGCCTCCTCCACATCTTTAACTTCCTGCAGTATAATATAACTTAGTGTACAAACAGTAAATTATAAAGCATTCTCAACAGCCCTGCTGTTGTCTTCTGTCCAGGTTAGCACAGGCATGTTAGAAAGAAAAAACCAGGGCCACTGCCAGGGCAAATCTCAGGTTTTAGGGAGGGTAGACCAAAATTTATTAATGTAGTTTGCAACATGTCTATCTGGAGTTGTTTAGAGATGGTGGAGACTTGGAAAATAGTGAAACTGAAGCAATACTCTGAGGCTGTCTGGGTCATAATGTAAAGTGTGTGGCTTAAGCCACATTATAGATCTCCAAGCTGCTAAGTGGAAGACTTCAACACTTTGTCCTAGGCCTTGTAAATCCTGGCAGTGGCCCCGACAGAAACGGTAAATATGTTATAATGAAAGCATACAAAATACAGAACAGAGGTCTGTGCAGCCTGTCATGCTGTTGTGCAGGTCTGAAATAGCATACCGATCCCAAGTATCTTTCCCAGTTTTGCAAATTAAGGCCACTTGTTCATTTTGGAACCTGAATATCAATAAAAGAAAAGAGATAATTCTGTCACATAGCTAAAACAGTTTATGGCCACATCTGTATTTGCTAGAATCTCTTCAAATATGTTATTTTATATTAATATCAATCCTGGCACTAAAAACGTTATATTCATCTATACACTGAAATTCATTTTTCTTGAGAATACAGTTAAAAGTAGGTATTATACTTTTCCCTGGTTGTTTCTTCTAGGTGTAGTACGGCTTGATTTTAGTACAGTTCTCTCATTCTTTAGTTCATGAAATATCACTTTTCCCTCTGCCGAGGGTTTGATCAGGGATGCCTTCTAGTTGCAGCTGTGCAGGCTGAAGACACATTTAGTGACACAACTCCATTTTTCTGCCTGAAGGTACTGCCTATAGTTATAAGTGGTTTAGAAAATTGGACCAGACAAATCTGAAGTAAAAACATACCCAACTAAAAAGATGGGTAAAGCATATCAGATAAAGGTGCATCTTTTCTCCATTTTTCAGGTCACATGGCAAATGTAGTTTCAAGAAATGGAAGTATTTCAACTGTGTGTAGTCAGACAAACAACTACAAATGCATGATTTCCGACAGCTTTGCAAATGAATTTTTTTATAAGATATGATGTTGCAACAAAGTGAGTTACCTGAACTTCCCATTTCTTATTCAATACAGCAGGTCAGCATGTACCAAAACTTTAGGTTGAAATCCTGACTCTGCTGTATATGCGTATGACTTCTCATGTAGACTTCAGTGGAGCTAGGCTTCCACTGTACAAAGCCTAGAGGCTTAAAACTTATGATTTACAGTGTGTGCTATGTCTTTACAGTGTGTTTCAAGGATAGGCAACCATCTTGCCAAGTAACACCTAGGATACTTCTCTCTTAATTCTGTATTTCCAAGAACGTGAATATGAAACAAAAATGCTCGCAGCTCCTTTTCTTTATACAACTTTGGCTGTACCTATTGCTTCCACACCTGAGTACATAATCTTCTTTGACATCACGATCTGCACAGCAGTTGGGACTCCAGTATTGTAAACAGTTTTGCATGTGTTTAAGGTCAAGTAGGTGAATGCTAAGGTCAAGTAAGTGAGCAATATTTTTTACTGTAAGAAAATTTTGAGTCAGGAATAAACAACAGGAACTTAGAAGCAATGAGAAAAACAACTGTGGTTTTCTGTTACCACCACTTTTCAGACTGCTTTCTGCAGACCTTTAAGACACACATAGACAGTAGACATATCCCTGGATGCCACAGATGGACTAAATTGGAGAGCAAGACACTTGACGCAAAAGCTTTTCTTTGTTTTCTGCATAATCAAGAGCCAATCTAGATTTTAAAAGTGTCTTAACAAATACTGGTGATAAGTCAAGCATATTTCATGAGTATTTGGTCGTTCTTTTAACTTCAGTAGCAGAGGCTTACAGTGTACCAGTGTGTGACAACTTTTGGCTTGGGCTAAACAAGTACACTCTTTGACTTCTCTAAAATTATTTCTACTTATAGTAGGTTTGAATTTGAGTCAAAACAATGTTGCTTTTTCCCACAGCACATAGGTAAATTCTAAATATGTGCTACATAAAGCCAGGTTTTTAATACAAATTTTCCTGCTTCAGTCCTGTTTAGATCCTTGACATTTAATAAGATAAGCCTATAACTGAAATGGAGGAAGTGATTAGCTGGATAACAGTATTTTTTAGGAAAAACATCTAAAAATTGAACAAAAAGCCCCCAAAGGACACATTTAGAGGAATAGAAACAATTCTAATTCTGAAAAGCTTGGCATCCCTTGTACATCCTTATCAGTGTTGTCAATTCATGCTTTTATTGCACGTCTCATTACGTGCTGGGTTCACGATTTGGGTTCTGAAGTCATGTGAAAATGTGAGAAATTTTTCTTCAATTTTTAAAAAAGTAAGTTTCTGATCTTCATAACTACAGAAGAGATTAATAGGACTCAGATGAACCATAGAAGTATCAGAAAGATTATTATATGTGGGTTTTTTTACATCTTGATTTGTATTCTTATCGCTGAGGGAAGTGAAATGTGAGCTTTGTGCTGCAGTCGTACTTGAAGACAGTTTTTATGAGCTTGCTCTTTTTTGTGGTTTTTGTTTTAATCTTGAGAGGATCAAAGAATTGGAGTGTTATAGCATTAATCTTGTATCCGACATTTAATGACGGCACCTCTGACCTTCCCAGCTTCAGCTACATTTAGTTCTTGTTATTTTTCCCTTATCTGTCCTTCTCTTACTCTCAGGGAGGGACACACAGTCAGAGCAATACTGATTAACCGGAAAATTCATGTCCAGGCAACTCTGGGAGACAATTTGTTGCCTCAGATAAGCTTGAGATGCTTCTATTGTTTCTATCATCTGCTTTCCAGACCAGGCAGAGCCTGCTGCTTCTCCCACCAGCCTACTGATCGCTTCATGTATATCTAGAATTAACTCTTGTTAAAACTGTACTTTTACTTTTCCTTGAACTGAGCCATCATGGTCACTTTTTAAGGAGAATTTTAAACAATGTATGTGCCTTCTACCTATGAGAGCCATATTTCAAGAATTTAATACAGTTGTCTTGGATACACTGTAAATACAATGTACTAATTAAAAGTACTTAGTACTTTTGTCATCAATGACCCATGTGAAGAAAGACATCTGAATGAGAATACTGCAGCCAAATGGAAGTTCAATGCAAATGAGCTATTGCAATTAGAAAAAGAAAAAAGTGTGCTAAATAGCTAATTGGTTTAAATAGATGTTTGCCTGGAAAGAGTGAATAGTGTATTCATGTGCAAGGATGCAGAATTACTGGAATTTCTAAGTATGAATACACATGAATATTTTATGACACTCATATGCACATGACATCAATATGCATGCTGTCCAGCACTTCTTACTGGAATAAGGATGTTAGGCAATGCTGGATTTTGTTTTATGGAACTGAAACACAGGGGGATTTAACATTTTTATGGGAATTCTAATTATGATGTCTGAACAAGCTGGTTCAAGGTGGAGCTCAAATTAAAACTTAATTGCATCAGGTATCCTAAACAGTAGGCCAGGAGAAAGGCCCACGTCCAAGCAACAAGCAATATGTAAGAAAAATGCTTTTTACCCAAATACTGTTTTTTCAGGGCCATAAACACAACCTCCTGTTGGAGCCCAGTTCTGCCACTAACTTGTGATGCTCTCAACACTGAGGACAATTTGGCACGCTGCAGTCTGGAGTGAAGCTCTTTACACATGCTGAAGTACACCTCTCTGGAATAACACGGTCCCATCACTAAAGTAACACACACTATACTAGCAACCTGAACTTCCCCAAACTGATAAAACTAGGATTGGCATTTTGAACTTACTTTTTGAATTTATTTATTATCCCACTTTCATTTTTCTTCATGTCATGCACCATCTTTTGAAGCTTCCTGTAAGACAGGAAAGAAAGCCAGCATTTAAATTACAATGTGGTTGAACACCCTTTTATATAAATTAAAAAAGAAATACAGGAGATGCATTTCCAGTAATATTTCACACATCAAAAATGCTCATTATATTTTCAGTAAGTAGTTTAGTTGCTGAATCACTTCTGTATGAGGTTTTCCTCTTTGTTTCATTTTTAACAGAGCTCTGACATGATTTGCGTTATCCTTTTCCTTAATACAATTATGCACAGTTAAACAATCCATTTGAGAGCAGGGGCATCCAGAAAGAACATAATTGCCTAAATTAGGTTTAGAATAGTTTAAGTTTAGAATGTTTCAATGTTAACAGTTCGTTCAGAACTGAATTTACAACACTCCACAGATACAACGCGAATGCCCTCTGATTTCTGACCTTACACAAGTCACTTTGTCCGTAGACAGTCTACCTCATTCCGGCAATATTTGCAATTATAACAGGAGGGGGAAAATGATACAGTCCTGAGTCCAGGACATCTGAGAAACCATTAGAGTATCTGTGACTGAGCTGCAAAAACTCATGATCTCAGGACTCCAGTTACATGGACTGGTATCTGGAATCATAGGTAGTTTTTATTCAATCAGGTGCCCTGTCCTCATTAAAATTTTACTTGTAATCAAGGCAATTTACATTGACTATCTCATTTTTCACTCAGCAAGTAAAATTTAGAATCCTACCTCCCTTCTCATTTAAAAACCTACATCACTAAAATGAAGTCAATGTCAGGAACACAGATACAACTTTCCGCAAAAAAATGGTTTTATAGTGACATCTGTTGCAAGTCTGGTCATACTAGAAACTTCTGTATCATGCATATATATTCTTAGTTTCCTCACACAGTGTACATTCTTCCTGTTCACCTAAACTAAGTATCTTTTACTGGAACTGAGCTGAAGATTTTATCACAGTCAATAAGGGAAAACAATGATTTCTTTCAAAAAGGGCATAATGGCAGTGGGTTGGAACTAGATGATCTTTAAGGTCCCTTCCAACCCAAAGCCTTCTATGATTCTTCATTATAAACTGCCATTCCTCATCTCTGATGCACGATCAGACTACCAAAAGACTCTTGGAAGTTTTGCTTACAAATAGAAGCAGAAACATCAGAGTATTCTTTCCCTTTTTTAAAGCTTTCTTTAAACAAAAAACTTTATTAATCATAAGGGTGAGTATCACATAGAGCTCTGCAAAAAGAATCTATCGTGCAGCTTAGTACTTAACAGCTGTCTCTTAAAAATAAAAAACCCCAATTTTTCAAAGGAAATTTGAATTAGATGAGAATTAACTAAACAAAACCAGGAAATAACTGCACTAACATTATGTGATTATTTGTTTGCATCACAGGGTTCAGGCTGAGTGGACATGCAGCCACTCAAGGCATCAGGTAGGGGTCAAGTATTAGGCTTATGCTGAAAAGGACCTTCCTACCTCTGCTGCTGATTTTAGAGCAATTGTACTAGTTAGTGGCAATTCCACTTTATGAGACTTCCTTAAAAAAACCACAGTTAAATAACTGAGTACTTTTAAGGTTTTTGAAATGCTGAAATAAATAACAAAGCTTAATTTTAGTCTTAATGTTTATTAACTGAACAGAAAAATGTGATCTTTTCATTATGTCAGCTGGAATTGAAGGACATTTCACATTTTCAGCAGTCCTGTGCTATAACAACATGTAATATACTGCTTTTAAGTATCAGACCTATCATGTAGCACGTCAGAGTATTCCTAGAGCCTAAATCTTTGCCTAATTTTACTTAAAGCCAATTCAAGCTATTCTTTTTATGTTCTCAATGCAGGAAAACAAAAACAAAAAAATGCCAAACCAAAACTGACAAAGAGTTCACAAGCACATCTTTAGCTTTTGCTCAGAACTCATTAATTTACAGCAAAAGGATACAGTGCTGATACACCAAAATACTTACAGGTGTGAGAAACAGGTGCACAGCAAAATGTGTTTAGATTTCCTGAAACAAAGCATTACATCTATTGGAATAGCTTGGATTATTATCTAAACTAACCAGATAGATTAAGTCTACAAATCTGGTGTGAAGATCTCAGAACTTCTGCTTTTCTGTGTTTTTTTGGTTTTTTGGTTTTTTTTTCCCCCCCGAATAGATTCAGCTTATGGTTATGCTTGAAACACCACAAATAGTTTACGTTTCTGTCTTGTGCCTCAGCTGGCACCTAACAGTGTCTATAAATGAAAAGTAATGAGGAATGAAAAGAATAAGAGGAGATTTAAATGGTTTAGTTACAGTTTGGGGAGAGCAGTTGTCTGCAAGTGTTTGTGTCCTTTTCAAAGAGGCTTGCCAGCCTTTAATTAGAAATGCATGTAAGCATCAGTTAATTTTCTTCCTGTACATAGTGTTTGTTAGAGAGAAGCCCCAAATGCACAAGCAAAAATATATCTTTACAATAGCAAAATTATAGCTTTGTTTTGAAAAAAGGTATTTAATTTTTCACAACTGATTTGATTTTATATTGTCACTTTGGTCTCTAAAAAAATCCACACACACATATACATAGATAACACCCACTCCAACATTTATAACTACAAGAACACAGAATCGTTTTCTTTTCATTTGATCATATTTAGGTGAATTGATTAGACTATCATGGGTGTTCCATGTGCACTAAATAAGGCTATATTTTAAATGAGCATTTTAATATATATTTCTTATTTTTTTAAATGACATTTACATTAGATAATCATGTGCCACTCCTGGTGCAATTAGATATTTTTCCTGTGCAAAGGGACTGAAATAAAACACTTCCATTTTTGCATAATCAAATTCCCTACAACTCTCTGCCTCTTTTATTCCTCATTCTTTTTTTTCTGGAGCCGTTTCATTGTCTAATTACAAATTATGACAAATATAAGGAGTATCTAATACTTGTGTGGTTTTTTTCCATTTTTAAAGTTACACAGCTCTCACAGGAATTGCTAGAATACTCAGTTTGTTGCCTCTGGACAACTTAACTTGTATCAAGCCTGTGACAGTAAGTAAATAACCAGGGCACTGTATAATGCTAAATGTAATGAGTCATCAAGCATGGATGATCTCCAGTTCAAGTGGGATCCCCTTTAACCAGTGAAGTTGAACACGCAGCAAAAACCAGTCTGTCCAGTTCACTAGAAGCTGAGATTTCTTGAGATGCCAGCAGATATAATAGGGTACATCTGACAAGTTTTACAGACAGCTGTCTGACTTGTTATTTTAGAGACAGTAGAAAATATAGGAGGCAGATGGCAAAGTCTATAGCAAGAGGATTCTCCAAATCTTAAGGGTGGCAAAGCCAAGCCCAAAGGCTATTTCAGAGCAATGAGGAAAGGGAAGCACAGAAGGGCGTTTATAGACTTAACGTTTTGCCTGGATCTGCATATCTGACTAGCTCTCAGATACTTTTCTTTACCTAAGACACTACTCCAGGTAAAGAGGTTCATTGTGAGAGGAACATATCAGAGCAGCAGCCCTGAGATTCATAGAATCGTAGAATGGCCTAGGCTGG